GGACATACACCCTATTATGAAAAGAATAGTCGTATCACAACTCGCACAGACTGACATTAGAATTGGCAGATGGAGATATTACCATACAAAGTTTCAGTAGCTCTCTATTCCATGGGTTCAAAAATTTTAGTAGAGACACAGGAAAACAATACGAAAAATCATATCCAACTTCCAGATACAAAAACTACATTGTGTGAAAAGATAGCTAAACTGGTTGTGGTTAATGGCAGATTTGACATTGAGAGGATTGGAAGACAAAGCTACTGAAACCAATCAAAATGAGACTCATAGGGAAAAACAATTTTAAAATGTTCTGAAGTAGAGGGGGCATGAAGAATATTTGAAAAAATAGTGGACAGAATATTTTCCACATCTGATGAACACTAGAAAACCGTATTTCAAGACTACATTGAATTCTGATAATGAGAAATATAAAGAAACATCGCAATCACATTCCTCAAAATCTATTATGGATACAGCAACTTAAAAGATATGGCAGAGTTAAAATCTGCCAAATGACGAAAACACATATTGTGTACAGGACAAAGAAAAGAACAGGCATGCTGTCATGTAGTAGGTGCAGCCACTGACTGCAGTGCTGGCATCTCTATGGATGCCGATTTGAGTCCCAGCTGCTCCATTTCTGATCCAGCTCCCTGCTGATGAGCCTGGGAAAGCATCAGAAGATGGCCCCTGCACCCACGTGGGAGACCCAGAAGAAATTACTGGCTCCTGGCTTTGGATTGGCCCAGCTCCAGCCATTGTGGTCATTTTGGGAGGTGAACTAGTGGATGGAAGACTCCCCCCACCCCTGTTTCTGTATCTCTGCAACTCTGCCTTTCAAATAAATGCATAAATCTTTTAAAAGAAAAGAATGACAGTAGTTTTATCATCATAAAGAACATATGCTGCAAAGAGAATGGAGAAACTCTGAAGTACTGAAAGACAAAGAGCGTCAGCATAGAATTCTTTGCACAGTGAACATATCTTTCCAGTGTGAAAGTGAAATAAAGACTCTCCAGACATAGAATCACAGAAATAATTCATCATCAGCAGATCCACACTACCAGAAATATTAGAAAGAGTCCTTTAGGGAGAAAGAAAATGTTACTAAGTGGGTATTTGAATCAACACAAAAGATGAAAACATGAGAATTGAAAGCTACATGGTTCAATGTATACAGATTTTTAAACTATTTAGTCACTTTAAAAGATCAATGACTTTTTTACAGCACAAATACTAAAAATGTGGCATATGGTTTATAGCTTTTTAAAGTTAAAGGTGCGGCAACTGTAGTACACCTGTAGGGAGAGAGAAATGGAAAAACACCATTTGACATGGTACAATATCACTTGAAGATAAATGTGATAGGTTTAAAATACATACCATGAAACCTAAAGAAGCCACTAAAGTTAAATAAATAGGACTATAATTAACCCACAAAAGAAATAAAATTGAATCATGGAAAAGAAACTGACCCAAAAGTAGGCAGACAAAGAAGAAAAACAGAACATAGAACAGATAGAAAACCCCTAACAAGGTGATTGATTTAAACTTAGCTATTTCATTAATTACATTAAATGTAAATGGTATAAGGAACTCAGTTACAAGGCAGAGAGAGTATAACATTGAATCGACAAGCAAGACCCAAGTATAGGCTCCCTAAATGAAATTCAGTTTGAATATAATAGCTTGAAAATTGAACTATAGAGAAGGAGATAAACATTAGCCATCTACAAAACTGGACAAGCTACATTAGCAACACAGATCATGGAATATTTTAGGATCATGGAATATTTTCAATGATAAATAAAGTCAATTCATGATGATAAATGATTTGATTCATCAGTAAGACGTCAATCAAAGTATTTATAGACCTAGTAACAGAGCTTCAAGATGCTGAAGCAAAAGTTGATAGAACTGCAAGGTTTATCTGAAAAAAAAAATCCATAAACACATGGAGTGGGAGATTTCAATATTCTTATCTCAGTAATCAGTAGAGCAAACAGGTAAAAATTAGCATGGAAACAATCTTAAAGACATCACAAACTGGTTGACTTAATACACATATATAGAACACTGAAATCAATAACAGAACAGATTTGAAAGCACTCAGAAAATTTATATGGATGTAATTCTTTAGGTCATAAAGGAAGTTTTAATAATTTTAAAAGGATTTACTTAGTGCTTCAAGGAATACATGAGAGCTATAATTGGATGACAAAGATTTCTGGAAAATTTTCCGTTGTTAACACACACACACAAAAACACTTTTAAATAACCTGTGAGTCAAAGAATAATGAATAAAAGACACCTTTTCCATGTTATTCCCTACCAGCAACCCCAGGCTCTTGGGGAAGCTGTTCTTCCCTCAGGCGAGGGATGGCATCCTCAAATTAGCCAAGCAACAGGGCGTGCGGCTGCTTAGGTTTTAAATTGTTTCTCAGGATAGTCAGGAGGAGATGGCCACACAGAAGATCACGTGTGCGAGGGCACAGAGGAAGTGTTTGCTGACACAAAGAATGGAAAACTGTATCCCCATGGGTGTGGGCATACGTCCGGGCAAGCCGCATTTCTTGTCTTCATCAGAGTTTTTATCTGATGGTCAAAGTAGTACCCAAACCAAGATTTGGGGATTAAGATCCATAATCTTGTTAAATTCTGAAATGTTCCATGTGTCAGCTTTCTCATCTAACAGATCGGTGTTGTCATTTGGATTTAAATTTCATGATGGCAGAGAAGAAAGAGATGCTAGAGACCAGTTAGGACAATAATTTTTTAAAGATTTTTTCTTTTTTGTACATAAGAGGACTCGGAGTGTTTATGTGTCATCATCATAGTCCCTAGGGTATTAAATGGTGATTGTAACTTTTTTTTTCCATCCAGGGAAATATTAGAATGCAAGTGACTGATGACAGTAACTCTGGCCTGAAATATTTTTGGCCAGCGCCGCGGCTCACTAGGCTAACCCTCTGCCTTGCAGCGCCAGCACCCCGGGTTCTAGTCCTGGTCAGGGCGCCGGATTCTGTCCCGGTTGCCCCTCTTCCAGGCCAGCTCTCTGCTGTGGCCCAGGAGTGCAGTGGAGGATGGCCCAGGTGCTTGAGCCCTGCACCCCATGGGAGACCAGGAGAAGCACCTGACTCCTGGCTTCGGATTGACACAGCACGCCGGCTGCAGCACACCGGCCATAGCAGCCATTTTGGGGGTGAACCAATGGAAAGGAAGACTTCTCTCTGTGTGTGTCTCTCTCTCACTGTCTGAATCTGCCTGTCAAAAAAAAAAAAAAAAAAACATACAGCCTACAGCCTTCAATTCACTTTCACCAAGACGCCGACTGCAGCTCAGAGGGAGCGCAGTCAGTTCTGTGTTGACAGGTCCTGAAGTACACTAAGCAGTAACCGTCTCCATCCTGTGCTGGATTAATACAAGTTCACCTGAATTTGCAACTTAAGTGGAAGCCTACGTGGGGCTGGAATGAGCTAATTTCCTCCCCTGCTCTGTCTGCTGGTGTCGCCTCTTCTCCCATTTCTCATCTCCTTTTCACCACTCCCCCTTCCTGTTTCCTTTTCTTCCCTTTTTCTCAGCAACTTTCCAGCTTTCCCCTTTGAATTTTTTTTTTTTGACAGGCAGAGTGGACAGTGAGAGAGAGAGACAGAGAGAAAGGTCTTCCTTTGCCGTTGGTTCACCCTCCAATGGCCTCCGCGACCGGTGCGCTGTGGCTGGCGCACTGTGCTGATCCAATGGCAGGAGCCAGGTACTTATCCTGGTCTCCCATGGGCTGCAGGGCCCAAGCACCTGGGCCATCCTCCACTGCACTCCCTGGCCACAGCAGAGAGCTGGCCTGGAAGAGGGGCAACCGGGACTAGAACCCGGTGTGCCGGCACCGCAAGGTGGAGGATTAGCCTAGTGAGTCACGGTGGCGGCCTGGCCTTCCCCTTTGAATTTTATCTACTGTATACTTAAGGGGCAAAAAAAGTATACAGTCCCTACCGCGTGTTTTTGCTTTTCCAGCACTGCCTTATATAATTGTCGTGATGTTCTTAGGAAAAAGGTGGGATTGTGTCCATTTTACAGCTGGGAAAATGAAGCTGTCAGTGATGAAGAGTGTGCCTAGAGTATTTCAGTTAGCATGAAGGTACTTCAATGAATTCCTAGAAAATGGAAATCAAAGATAACTTGATTTTGTTGCAAAAATCTTTGAATTCCACATTGTAGTTTTTTGTTTTAATAATAGACATTTTCATGAACTTTTTTGAAGACCTCTCAAAAGTATGCCTGCCGACATTTTTTATACAAAAATCAATTTTATCAGAGCAGGCATTTGGTGCAACAGTTAGGTCACTTCCTGGGACACCCACATCCCTTGTGGAGGGCTGGTTCAGCCATGGCTGCTTGGTTTCAAACCCAGCTTCCTGTCGTTGTGCACCCTGAGAGGCAGCAGGTGATGGCTCAAGTGTGTGGGTTCCTGCCACTCACGTGGGAGACCTGGATGGGACTCTGGTCTCCTCCCCTCAGCCTGACCCAGCCTTGGCTGTTGTGGACATCCAGGAAGTCTGCTCTTCAAATGCAATGGAAATAAATAATTTCAGAATAAGTTTATCCTTTAACTCCACTTTTCGTAAAGTGTTTGAAGCCCCCCGTGAGGGGCAGAGCTAGGGAATCGGACGTAGACCTTGCTGATTTTTTCAGAAGTCTACGCTTTTTCTGTCACATCCATGACAATGAGCTCTGGCAGGACATTATGCCTTGGTGCCACTCCCAGGCATGCATGTGCAGTTCCTCTGTGGAGGATCTGGGGGGAACTGTGGCCCGATGCTCTGTTTTCTCCTCAGCCCCAGTTTGTCTTAACCTGTGAGCAAGAGCACGTGTTGAGGAAAGTAACAGGACAGCCCTTACGGCAGGTGGATTTCTGCTCTCGTGCCTTCCGTGTGGTAGGACTTGCCCTGCCGGAAGTCAGGGGCACAAGGCAGCACTGGTGTATCTCTGTGTTTGTGGTGCAGGTGGGCAAGTGGGAGAACCAGACCCTGAGCCCGAGAGGCACGCCATGTGGCCCCGGTACAAGTCCTTCTCTGACTGTGAGCCGGATGACAGCCACCTGAGCGTCGTCACCCTGGAGGAGGCCCCCTTCTTCATCATGGAAGACATCGACCAGCTGACCGAGACGTGTGTGCGGAACACGGTGCCGTGTTGGAAGTTCGTCAAAATCAAGTGAGTGCCAGGGAGGCTGGGGTCTGGACGTGCCCACGCCTGTCAAATAGTGCAAGTCACTGATCCCAGCAGCACCTGTCATTCAGTAACAAAATGTACTGCAGAACACATGATTGTGATAGCTCTAGTGTTAACAATGGGCTCATGTTTATGATTGCCTGGAGATGCACTGAGTTTACATGCGTTCAATCCTCACAGCCGTATGAGGTGAGGGCCTTTGCCATTGACAGTTGACGCAGTTGAGTGATGGGCAGGTTGGAGAATACAGCTGAAGCTGTTGCAGAAACACATGGGAGAGGTACAGCTCACACACTGAGCCGGCTGACTCCAGCTGTGTTCTTACCCGTGGTGCTCAGTCAACCCCCAGCACCCTCAAGTCTCTCCTTAAAGGATTTCTGTTAAGACATTTTTTTGGTTCCCTCTCATTTCTGTCCCCTCCCTGGCGTGTTCCCCTTCCTTTTGCCTGTTCTGTATCTCCCAGATCTGGGGGTGGATACAGATTGGGAATGATTTCCTGATGCTGAGAGGTGGAGTCTGAACCTCTGACAGCAAGCCAGCACTGCATCACTGCCATTTTCTCTTTTGTTAGGACTGAAAAAATAACTTGCATGTATATTAAGGGTTCTCCATAATTCACAGACCACTTGGGGATGCAGAAAGCTCTACAGGCAATTCCAAGGCCTCATTACAGTCATTCCTAAAGCAAATGCAAGGCTAAAGTTCATCCTTTCACCCAAGGAAAAGGCCAACTGTCAGATGGTAATACGTTTTTCTGAGTATTTGCCTTTTACCTTAGAGGACAACTGGTCTTCTCAGTCTAGTCCCTCCCTGTGCGCCCTCAAGCTGGGCTAGCCCTCCCTGTTTCTGCAGGTGCTCTGGGCCACCCCAGCCTCCATCCTGATCGCTTGATCATCATTCATGGTTTGTCTTTCCTCCTGCATAAAATGCTACCTAAGTAGAGTGATGAGTGTGGCCTTTAGATCTTCATCTCCTCAGTCAAGAGGACGGAGCATGGGTCGCCAACGTCTGTTGAATGAACAGAGAATGTGTGGTTACTTTTACTCCCATGTCTCAAACTCCAGCCACAGCCATGTTTAGACAAGATGCAGATCCTCAGATCTCTGGGCCTGGGCTCTAAGTATCTAATACATGACTGTTCAGTGTGATCTTGAAGGCATATTTTGATTTGAGGAAAATTTTATCAACAAGGTCACTAAATGGAGCCTCTTTGGAGCTTACATTCTGGGTAGATCATGCAATAAATAGATAAGCCCTTCTAAGACTCAAGAAAGGGCAGGTGGGTATCCTTGTTTCAGGGATATGAATGTCTTACTAGTTTTCTTGAATTCCTTTGCAACTAAATGCCATTTTAGAATACTGTTCGAAATATTGTTAGAAATGAACTATTTAAGAGTATTGCTGGAAATATTGTTAAATATTTATAATTAGCAATTCTGTTAAAAATGAACTTTTCAAGTAGACAAACGTGTGCATGTATGTAAAATGCAATTTATGCGTTAGGCATAGTGTTGGTTCCAGGGACTGTATCAGGGAACAGGGAAGCAAAGACCTTGTAGTTAGAAAATGACTCAATCGATGAAGGAACAGGTCCTCCCTGTGCTGTGACAAGTCTGGTGATGGGTTTAAATGTGGTGGTGCAATAGAAGAGTGAGCTGGGATATGTAGAGGTATGAGGCATGTATTGTCACACACAGGTAAAGTTGAAGGTTATAGAGAAAGGATGAGAAGAGCCAGATGTGTGAAGGGCCGAGGGAGGAGCCCTCCAGGCGGAGGGCACAGAAGGTGCAAAAACCTTGTTGGGAGGATGAGCTTGGTGGTGGGAACACAGAAGGGAATCTTATGCACGCTGGAGAGTCATGGGCCAGAGGAGGATGGAGGGGACAGTGCTGCGATGTCACATGCTGGAGGAGGATGGACGGGACAGTGCAGAGATCTTTGGATCCCCTAAATAAAGAATCATACCATCTGCAAAGAGGTATAGTTTGACTTCTTCCTTCCCAATTTGTATCCCTTTAATTTCTTTTTCTTGGCTAAAACTTCCAGTACTATATGGAATAGCAGTGGTGAGAGTGGGCACCCTGTCTGTTACTGGATCTCAATCGGAATGCTCCCAACGTTTCCCCATGCAGTATGATGCTGGCCATGGGTTTTTCATAAATTGCCTTGATTGTGTTCAGAAATGTTCCTTCTATACCCAATTTGCTTAAGAGTTTTCATCATGAAAGGGTGCTATATATTCTGTCAGCTGCTTTCTCTGCATCTGTTGAGATAATTATTTGTTTTTTTCTTCTGTAGCTTGTTAATGTGGTGAATCACATTGATTGATTTGCGAACATTGAACCATCCCTGCATACCAGGGATAAATCCCACTTGGTCTGGGTGGATGATCTTTCCGATGTGTTGTTGAATTCTGTTGGCCAGAATGTTATTGAGGATTTTTGCGTCTATGTTCATCAGGGAGATTGGTCTGTAATTCTCTTTCTCTGCTACATCTTTTTCAGGTTTAGGAGTTAAGGTGATGCTGGCTTTGTTGAAAGAATTCGGGATTCCCTCTCTTTCAATTGTTTTGAATAGTTTGAGAAGAATTGGAGTTAGTTCTTCTTTAAATGTCTGGCAGAATTAGGCAATGAATCCATCTGGTCCTGGGCTTTTTTTCTTTGTTGGGAGGGCCTTTATGACTGATTCAATTTTTGACTTGGTTATGGGTCTGTTTAGGTTTTCTGTGTCTTCATGCTTCAATTTAGGTAGGTTGTACGTGTCCAGGAATCTATTCATTTCTGATAGATTTCCCAGTTTGTTGGCATACAGCTCTTTGTAGCAATTTCTGATGACTCTTTATTTCTGTGGTGTCTGTTGTTACATTCCCTTTCTCATTTCTAATTTATTTGATTTGGGTCTTCTCTCTGCCTGGTGAGTCTTTTTGTAATCTTTGTGCCTGTCATGTGCCGGCCCTGGCCACAGGGCAGGGACATTCGGCCTTCAGGAGCCAAGGGGAAGGAAAACTGAGTTTGTAGTATATTTTATGTTACAAATTGAATACCATATTTTACATTATAAATTGTTTTTGTTATACATTATAAATTGCATATGTATACTTCAAATTGTATGTTGTAAAACGTATATGTGCTTGGAGGTATCACATACAGTTCAGAAGGAAAGAGCCTACCTGGCTGAATTCTGATGCCAGGGTGGGTGAACCAACAGGTGGGGCATCTTCTGTTTGGTGGGCGGTTAAGATGCCCCACCACTGTGTTAAGTTCTAGGTTTGTTGTGTTATTTTCCGGATTTGTAGTTGTACTTAGTGGATAGGAGCTGAGAAAATGGATCCGGTGGAGGGATGCACTGCTCAGTGGTATATTGACATGGCTTTGCCTACTGGTCTGTCCAGCACCACCTGGGACTTTTAGGTCAAGCCCAATCCTTTTTGTTTTTCCCACTCATTTGGTAATGAATAAGAGAGGCTTAAAGAAACTCCCATGTCTCCAGGGTCAAGTACTTTCAATTTCTAATGGGACACAGAGGCCTTAAGAGACCAAGGCCTGACTCCATAGTCTCAGGCTATTTTGGAACTTGATTCTCGCCCTGTTTTATTGATGGTTTTGTAGGAGAGGTGGGTTTAAATCCCTCCTGTGTCAGCTGTTAGAAGAAAATCCAGTATGCTTACTATGTCACAGGAGGCCTTGTCTGCTTTGGCTGCTCCCTCTTTCTCTCCTGCCTTCTCACTTTTGTTGACCTTTATTCACTGTTTCCTGTACCTGGAATACTTTTTCCACTACCCTGAATAGGGATGACCCCTCATCCTTAAAGGCATGGCTCCAATATCATTTCCTTAGGCCCTCCAGGCAATCCTGTTAACCTCCTTCCCAGGAGCCCTAACTTCCTTAGCTGTACTGCAGTTTTTATCTATCCATTTATGTAGTTCTGTCTTTTCTGTGAAATCGGTGCTCCTCGCAGTGTGGGTCATGCACCATCTTGTTCCCCACTGAATGTCTAGTTGAGCAGCTGACATGTGGACAACTTAAAACTGTCACGAGTGAATGAATAAGTAGCCATCTAGAAGAACTGTTGCAACAGCATCTTTTTTGGCCATCTCCAAGCTGAGTCTCAGCTGGAACATATGGAAAAATCTCTTGCATCCCATAATGTCCAGGCCCCCTCATTTTTCATCTGAGCCACGGAAAACTGTCAAGCAGTGCTGTTCTCACGGGGGAAGATAGCCTCTGCTTGGCCAAGATGAACACAGCTGTACTTAGGCAAAGTTGCCTGTTATGTTGGTTTCCTCTCCTGTTTTTTGTTGGGAGGATAGGGTTTTGATGCCAAGCAAAATTAATGCCTGCAGTTGTTGAGTTACTGCTGCCTAGGGAACAGGCACTTTTCATACATTGTCCCTGATCCTCATAGTGTCTCTACATGATAGATTTTATTATCTCCCTGTTACAGGTAAGCATACAAACACTCCTGAGGTTAAGGACTTGGGACATCTTCTACTGCTTTCCCAGGTTATCCAGTTACTACTGGATCTGAAGTGGAGCAGCCAGGACTCGAATTGGTGCCCATCTGGAATGCTGGTACTGTAGGCGACTGCTTTACCTGCTATGCCACAGCACTGGCCCCCTGCCCTTTACTTAAGAGCCCTGTCCTGGAATTTTCTTTGTTTATGCTCATCTTGTATTAGTGAAGATCAGGCTTCTGATGGCTTCCAGTGAAGTAGAATACATGAGCGTTGAGTTGCTCATCTGGGCTCAAACTCTGTGAAATTCCATGGTCGTGAAAATATGCCCACAGGAGCCTGTTCATGCTGCCATTTCCCCAGCAGTTGGGAGAGTTTTGCATGGGGTCCTCTTCTGTGCACAGCTTGAGGTGGAGCTGGAAAAAGAATACAGGTCTCTGGGCCCGACAATCCAGGGTTAGTGCTCTGTGTGCTTACGATTTTACTTCTCTGCTCTACTGGATTGGAAGACAGGAATTGTGGCTAACTC